AATAAAGCTTGTATACAGCCCCCCCACACACCCCCAAGTACAGCCTACACACACACACACACACACACCAAGTACAGCCTACACACACAGAGAAAGTGCAACTTACACACACAGAACAAGTACAGCGCACACATACATACATTCACACAAAGAGCAAGTACAGCTTACACACACACACACACACACACACACACACACAGTGCAACTTATACACATACACAGAGCAAGTACATATATACATACACAAAGTGCAACCTATATATACAGAACAAGTGCAAATTACACACACAGAGCAAGTACAGCCTATGTACATACACAGAAAGTACAAGTACATACACACAACAAGTACAGCACACATACACCAAGCAAGTACAACCTACACACACAGAGAAAGTGCAGCTTACACACACAGAACAAGTACAGCGCACACATACACACACAGAGCAAGTACAGCCTACGTACACACACAGAAAGTACAAGGTACACACACAGCAAGTACAACACACATACTGAGAGCAAGTACAGCCTACACACACTCACACACAACAGGCACAACCTACACACAGAGCAAGTGCAACCAAAACACCCCTAGATTAAGTACAGCCAGCCTACACACACACAGAGCAAGTACAAACAACACACATAGAACAAGAACAAGCTACACCAAGCAAGTACAACCACACACACACACATACAGAGAAAGTACAACCTACATGCACACAGAGCAAATACAACCACACACACAGCATGTACAACTTACACACACACAGAGCAAGCACAGCCTACACACAAAGAATGCAAATATATGACACACACAGAGTAAGTACAAGACACACATACTCTCACAGGCATACAGCAAATCCAACTTACACACATACAACACACAGTGCAAATACAACCTGTACACATCCCCCAAGTAAACCTCTCAAAACACAGCATGCACAGTCCACACACAGAGGCACACATATTGCACACATCACACACACAGAGCATACACCACCCATGCACACATGAAACATGCATGCACTGCACACACACACAGATACATTACACACACACACTTCTGAGTTCCCTTCCCCACCAGCCAGGAGGACACCCACGGAAACCACTCTGGTGTTTAGAATTCCCAAGTTATTCAGTGTTCAGATTCAGCCTCTTTTCATTCCACAGGTTCCTCCTCTGTGCGTCACTGCTTGGCATGCTGGCCACGTGCCCTGTTTGTTTAGAAAGCACTTGCCTGGAGGCCGTTCAAGCCCTCACTTTTGTTCCCAGAACTCAGCCTTCCTGGCTGCGACAGGCACAGGGAATGTTTTCCAGTGTTCCCATATCTTGGTCCCTGGGCAAGCAGTGAGTGTGTTGTCCTTTGAGGACCCATGAGGAACGGAAGCCTGCTTCTGGAGTTACTCTTCGTTGATGTGATGTCTCAAGAAGCTGGGGGTAAATGCCTCTGGCGCAGGGTTAAAGGGCTCAGCTCCTGGCCAAAAGGTTGGTGGTTCAAACCTACCAGTCCTGCTCCACAGAACAAAGATGCACTCAGCATCCACAGAGATTACACGCTCGGTTCTGACTCACAGCAGGCTGTGCTCACTGGGTTTCAGAGCTTAGGGGCAGCTTCTCATCCAAAGGGCCAAGGGCCACTGTGAGCAGATCTCTGCACGGAGGTGGCTTGGTTCGGGTTGGGCTAGGGTGAGTGTGGAGAAGGCTATTATCGTGGCTAGGTCTAAAGAGCCAAGTGGTAGTATCAGAGGGCCTGCCTGGGCTGGCCCCAGGTCACAGAGGGGCCAGTCCTTGTCCCTGTCCTCGGGCCTCACAGGAGGGAGGATGTGGTGACCATAATGTGGATATTGTGCGGACAGCATGAATGGTTACCACCTCTGGCCAGGACTGAGCAGCAAGGAAAAGTGTGGACCTGGGTGTCCGGGAGGAATGCAGGACAGGGAACTCTTCAGGATACGGAGACCTTCAAGGACCCCAGAGACTCAGCTCCCTCCTCAGACCCAGGACCACCTGAGCCTCCTGGGTCACCTCACTGCCTGTCCCCTCCTGCGTCCTCTCCCCTCCTCAAGCCCCACCCTCGCTATTCTAAGCATCATCTTCAGAGCAGCTCCGCTCACCTGCACAAAGTCGAGTTCTCACCTGCTGCTGAGACCTCTGGAGACAGGACGGGCTGCTCTGACAGGTCCAGGGGCCTTGAACTGACAAGGGCAGGC